CCCCAAAACCCCAAAACCCCAAAACCCCACTGAGTGTTGATGACTTATAAATAGAGATAATTATAAATTAATAGTTTTTTCATATATTACGCTGAGCCCTGGCTTTTTTTTCTTAAGCTAATAGCTTTTAAATGTTAAGTCCCTGGCTACTTCTGCTACCTTAATTCATCGATTCGCTTTGATTTGATGATTGTTACTTTAACATACTATTGCTACCAACTTTATTATTTTACACTTTAATGTTGTTGTAGCTTATATTGTTATTTCCCTATGTAATTTTCTAATGGCCAAAGTCAGTTGCATTGTGAATATTGCCTGAATTCGATATCTCAGGCAAACTAATACCACTATTGTTTTGATATTGCTTATTCTAGTTAGCTTCATTCATCTCAAATGAATAATCTTTAAAATTATCGAAGAGTCCAGCTTAGTTCTAAAATAAACCGTTGATGTTATGATTGTTGTGGTGATGTTGGTTAATATTCTTCTTGCTGATCTTAACTGGACTTGGTGTTCTATTATTGTAATTGCTGCCGATAGATTCTTCAAATAGAGGAGTGGATATTCCACCATTATTGCATTGATCGTTTTCATCTTCCTCTAATATCTAATCCTAAACCATTATTCTCAGAAATGAGGGACTTGGCTCTTCATTAGTTTTAACGCCCTCATCTCTTATTGTTGAAGGGAATTTTTCTGTTGGCCATAGTCCAGTAGTTTACCCACTATTACAATTTTGAGAGGTAAAATATTGAGTTATTGACTTCTTGAGAGCTTTTAACTCAGTTAATTAACTATTTTTCCTATGGCTTTCAAATACATATAGTTTAAATTATCTCTCAACATGATTGAGTTTGTTTTCAAGCTTTGCAATTTGATGTTTTAGCTATTCATTTTCTTTTTTCAAATTAGTAATGATACTTTGTTAACTGTTTGACATTACTAAATGATGCTGATCTATATTTGGAAGAGATTAACTTGTATTCAGATTTCTATCCTTAGATAAAATTGCATCAACAGTAACAAGTAGCTCTCTATATGAAGTGCAAGTTCTTTACGATTCATTATACCATTGTTCATCAATAAAGCCAAGCTTTTATAATTGAGAATAAATCTTATGCTATATTTAGGAGGTATTGTCAGATTCAAGTCTGCCCTCTTAAAGTCTATCCATTAAAACCACGTCTTATTATTGCAATAGCAAAATTAGTTATTGATTGTCATTTTGTAATCTAAGGATTCTTGATTGATACTTTTTAGCCATCTCTGATGAAAAGCTATCTTTAGAATCGTCTTTTATGAAATTCATTACTTACTTTTCAAGCATTAAATGATTGACATCTGGAGCAAGATTGGGATTAGGGTTTTAGCGATTATTTTAGTTGTTGCTGCTACTATTGATAGTTGGTATTAAGTTACTGCCTTAATTAATGCTATTTTACACTTGAGGATTTTATTAAGATTTATTAAGGCTCAATGTTGGCCTTCTCTACAAATTTTTATTCATTTGATGCAGAGCAAGATTTTTAGTGAGTTAATTCAGTGTTTACTATACAAGAGTGTTATTAAATAAATTGGATGCACCTTTCTGATTTCCTAAAGCAATATCTGGAGATAAACTTCTTAGTTGCCGATTAATACCTTAAGCCACATTTGAAGGTCTATCAGTCTGCGATCCTTAAACATATGAGCCTTGGCGAACTACATTGTATGGACTACTAAGCAGCTTTGTAGTGAGATTATGAATTTATTGATTATTTATTGCATTATTAGGATTCTTGATAGAAACAGGTGATTTAGGAATGCTTTTGATGCCTGGATTAGATCCTCTATGCGAACTCATTTTAATATTTATTTCTAAATCTTATATTTCTATATGTTAAAGAGGACATCAAATTAGGACTGTACGGGGTTTTGGGGTTTTGGGGTTTTGGGGTTTTGGGG